GTAGGATAGGATTTCTCAATGTTATTAAAAAAGAAAAGAAAAGAGTAAATAATTAATGTGATGCTTACTGGGCTCACGTTGAGTCGGCAACCGTTTTTGTGAAATTTTTTATTTTATTAAATATTCTCAAGCATTTGACCAAAACCAATATTACGATGAGACATATTTTTACAGATTTTTCTATATTCCTCTTCTAAACAATAAATATGACTATTAGTGGACGGTTATTCTGTTTTAATACATTAAAATCGTTTTTTTATTAAGGTCTAAAAATATATTAAATTACACTATGAGAGAAATAAGTTAAATTGATTTTTCTTTTTTATTCAAACACAATTTTTTAATTAAAGTACAAATTTTGTAGTTTTAGAATTATTTTATAATTAGGGTTTTTTAAATTATCAAGTTAATTATAAAATTGAATTTTATAAAACGTAGATGAGTAATTTTAAATTATAATAATTTGTTTATTCATTTTTTATTTTTATATTCTATGTCATAAAGTAATTGAAAATTTTAATTAACCAATGAATATAAAAAAAATTGCCACATTAATTAACCAATTAAGATAAAAAAAAATTATCACATAGATGATGATGTAGAGGATGAGGTGTCTTCACCATATTTCTTTAAACATCTGCATATATATAGATTAGTCGAAGACAAAACTGAGTTTAACATCTTCCCTCTAAAGTCGCTTAGTCGGATATCTAGAAAAATTAGGTTATTTGGATCCGAAAAATCCAGTTATTTAATTATAACATTTGTATCCAGGATTTGATCTTTATTGAGTATCCGGGGTACGGATATCCAAAATAATATTCGAATACTCACGGATATATGAATTCGGATTTATTTTAAAAACAACAAAATTTATATATAAAGTTTCAAAGAATGAAGATATTTTTAAAAAAGTGGATAAATTATGATAAAAATATGAGATAATAAGAGATAATAAGAGATAAGTTTAGTTTTTTAGATAATATTAAAAAATGTGAAATTATTAAACTTAAAATAATTACATTTTATAAAAAATATTATATAGATATAAGATATAATTCTTTATAATCATATTTGTCCGGTACTCACGGATATCCGGTTTTAAAAATTTTATCATGCAGATTTGGATTCGGATTCATGAGTATTGAAAAATCCGAATTTGAATTTGGCGTTGAATAATATGAATTTGAATTTCGTTTATTTTTCCTTTTTTTATGAATGATTCTATCGGAAATTATTATTTGGTTCGAATTGTTGACCATATGCCGATGGCTAGAGATTCGATTCAACCTCTAAGTCATCAGATCACTTACCGGACGATGGATATTTCAACTATACCGTCTAATGCTAGTTCTATTTTCATTATAAAGATTTTTTAGTATGACTTTTACTTTTCTTTTACTTTTCCCTAAACCCTAAACCCTAAAACCACTCCAAATAAAAAAAATCGAATTTTAAGTGAATAGTTCTGGTAATTGTCTCCCACAAAACAAAGTGGACATTATTGATTATTGGATTTATATATATATATATATATATATATATATATATATGTATATATTGTGCGTGTACATCGTGAGATGTAAAATGTGAAATGGCCACTTCAGTGTAAAAGAATAATGAAAACAGTGTTTCTTCTTTTTCCAAAAGAATGGGGTCGGAGATTGGGACCCTAAAAGAAGCTTGCATTAGTTTTTTTAGATTGTGCTTCATCCCATCATTATGCACCCGTAGTTGAAAATGACTAAGCAACGTGTGTAATGAGCTTATTTTATTATTATTTTTCCCCTATTTTTGTTCATTGTAACCATATAATATAGCGATAAGAGTCAAAATAACAAGGACAGTGGCAAAATGTACAAAAAAATATATATATAAATAAAATTTTCAAAATATCTCACAAAAAAACATTTTTTTTGTATATTACACTTTTTTTTTCTAAATACTCAAACTACCCTTCAGAATAGTTTTCTATGATTTTGTGATAATTTATCTTTTAGAAATCGGTACGTTTTGCCATTTAATCTTATTTTTTCTCCAACATTTTCTCTATCTTCTCTATTTCTTAATATTTATCTAATCTATTCAAATACTCTTCTAGTTGATTTTTTTCCTATGATATTGTGATTATTTTTTTGTATGTATATAAGGTGTTTGATGAAATATCTGTAAAAGAAAACTGTAGAAGATGACATGCCGTCTTTGAAAAATGATATGCGTTCTCGGTAAATGACCTATAGCCTATGGCAGACGGCTTGTGACACATGACTTGTGATATGCCGCAAATGATCTGCGGCCCGCGGCAGGTCACATGCGGTCCGCGATAGGTCATCTGCGGCCTGCGGTCTGTCGCACCTGCGATCTGCGACCTATCGCACCTGCGGTCTGCGACCAGATAATTACGACCAGATAACTATGATATTTTAGTATGACCATATAACTACGACCAGATAATTGCTATCGTGATTTCATTACGACTAGATAAATACGACCGTGATTTCATTACGACCATATAACTACACCAGATAATTGCGATTGTGATTTCACTACGACCAGATAACTACGACCATGATTATACTACGAACATAATACAAATATTACTAGAGAATTAACGATGACCATGACCGTTGATAAGTGTTTTTTACTGATCTGCAAGTATTTTTTTCACGAAAACGATGCAAGCGTTTTTCTATACTTATATAAGGAAACAAAATCCATATAAATTTTTTTTCATATATGTGGAGAAAAACAAAATTCATGCAAGTGTTTTTTTTATAAATAAGTGTTTTTTATAAATGCAGGAAATCAACATATTGTAATAACATAGAAAGATATAATAGTCATTTTAACTTAAAAAAATATAGAATACAAAGATTACAATTATACAAGTATAGAATACAAATACGTTTTTTTGGTACATTTATACAAATTTTCCCGAATAACAATCATGGGACCATAAATGCATTGCGTACGATTAAAATAATACAGATTAAAAAAATGAAAACATATATGATCCCGGAGGTGAATATGATGGTGATGCAAAATAGGCCAGAAATTCACTGAAAATCGGTCACCCAAACATATACACATACATATGTTACATATGTGAAATTGATATATTACATGAATCTATTAAGTAATAATCACTATGATGATGTAATAAAAATAAAGAAAAGGGAATGGAGATTTGGGGGTGGTGACGCCATTGAGATCTCGGAGCATAAAGTTGTTGACCCATTGACTTATATCTCTCTCTCTTGCAACGCTCTTCAACGGTCACTTCCTCACCATCTAATCTTATCTTATTATTATTATTATTATTATATTCAAAACATATCAATTTATTGTGGAAATAATTGGAGTTGGTTTTGAATTTACATGCGTTTTTAATTCCATAACTTGATGTTTTTTTTTTTCCGGTTTGTTGACTTGACAAAATGTGAATAGAGCCGAGTTATATCCTCTGTTGTTTTGCTCTTGTTGTTTTGTTCTGATTTCGACTCTTGTCGCAGATTCCATAAACTCATGACATCTCTCTCTCGCTCGGGCAAGTTGCGGAGAGTAAAATCCAAGGGAGAGATAGGCAATCTCTCGTCCGATCATGATCCAAGACTTTTCTTCCACCGTCTCCGATCGATTCCGACAAAACCATCCATCCATCCATCCATCCATCCATCCTTTTATGCATCTTCCTCCCCCATTCCACACGATATATATATATATATATATATTCTCACACCAATATATGTCTTGCTTGTATTTAGAGGTGTCCATCGGGTTGACCCGATCCGGCCCGAATCTACACTCGATCCGAAAGTTTCTGGTTTGGGTTCGGGTGAGCTCGATATTTTTGGACCTAAGTAGTAAGTCCGAAACTCGATCCTATATATACCGGACCGGATCGGTCCGCATAAATCCCTTTGTAATTTTTTTAATATCGGGAATTTTGGGCCATCCCGACTCGAGCCCAAAGCCGGATTTGAACAGGCCCAAAACCCAATTTTTTTCGGACGAAAAATTTAGACCTGAAGCCCACTAATTTCAGATTGGACCGGGCAAGACTTTTGGACTCAGCCCAAATTGATACCCTACTTGTATCCATACTTGAACACTTTGTCTACTTGGGTGTCTGTACGAGTGACCAATCTGATTATGACTAAATAGTTAAATCGATGCCAACATGGTACAAATAATCGAATCAAAATTGACGTAAAAAATACAATATTTATAAGTTTAGTAAAACCGAAAAAATTAAACCTGAATTAAATAAAAAAATAGTTATATTTAAAAAATCAAAACTACCCATTCCGGAGTTGAACGCTAAAATAATAGCAACGTAGGTTCACATTTTGCTTGAATATGAATGAACTCCAATGAGATAAATCACGAGGGTTTTTTTTTGGTTAAGAATGTGCTTGTATTACTTCCTGACCGTTTTGAGTTTTTACAAAAAAATAACTATACAAAAAGGGATTCCCATGCGCAAGCGGGCAAAAGTAGAATCAACAACCTAATTTAAGTGATACCAATGCTGGAGGAATTCGTTCATGTTCGCATTCGTCGGACTCTGCAGTGTGTATAGGATACTTCTGATCGACCTGTCTACCTTGTGTCGGAGTTGGTAAATATAGTGAATCGTCCCCCGATGAATGCGGCCGTTCCGTTCGTTCCAAAGCTCATATGCCACAAGTTGCATAAGTAACTTCATGATGAGGTGAATACGTGACCGAGGCTCGTGTCCAACCTGTCTTAACCAATCCTGGCAGCCATATCTGCCAGTTGGAGGGTATCTTCACAATTTTTCTGCAAAAAAAATGCCATAGTGAAATACTAAAATCACAAGAGAAAAAGAGGTGCTCGTCTGATTCTTCCTCGCGACAGCAAAGAATACAACGATTCGGCCCGAAGATCGCCCAACTAGCCAGTCTATCCATAGTCGGTAATCGCCTGTGAAAAATCTGCCAAACTAAGAATGCATGTCGCAGAATGCATTTCTTAAATCACACCAGGTTATGCCATTCAACAATAGTCCCTGGAGTGCGACAAAGCTCCCATGTCCGTTTCGTTTTAAAACTAGGCCTGTAATCAACATCCGTACATCGCCACAAACATGTGTCCGGTCCTACATCATGCCTCGGTGGATCAGTCTGTAATAAGAGGATGTGAAGTTGTTGGATGCGGTCGTTCTGCGCACCCGGCAAACTCCAGCTTCCGTCCCGTATTGCATCTGCCACCGTGGCCATTTTAGATATCCGCAACAGTCGAGGACCAGCTGAGCCAATGAAATCAATCAGCGGCCCGAGAGGCAGCCAACTATCATACCAAAAAGATGTCTTCTTTCCATCTCCCAGGTTAATCTTAGTGAAAGGCCTTACCATAACCTTCAATCGTAGCAATTTCTTCAAGTTCCATGTAATAGTTGTTGTCTCCTTCACTTCCCAGTAAGTTTTGCCTTTGAAAACATTGTGTCGAATCCACGCAACCCATAGAGACCCCGCCTTAGTAAGCAGTAACAAGACAAACTTAAGACGGAAGACAACATGTGTCTCCTCAATCATTCTTATCCCAACTCCTCCTTCCTTCTTAGGCTTGCATATTACTGTCCATGAAACTCGATAGCTGGGTGAGTGATCCCATGCATGTTGCCAGATAAACCTAGAGCATAGGCTATCAATCTCTTTTAATATAAATTTAAGCAACACAAAGGTCATGCTCCAAGCATTGATCATCCCATAAATGACAGAGATGACAAGCTGAATTTCCCGCTGCAGAAAGAAATCTGTTTAGCCAACTATCTATCTTCGCTTTTACCCTGTCTAGGAGAGGAGCAAAGTCAACCTTGCTGAGTCTAACCGGACTGAGGGGAACCCCAAGATATCTTACGGGTAGTGAGCTAAGAGCAATGCCAACCGAAGAGGACATGTTCTCCTTTTCGACCACATTCATGCCGGAGAGGAATAACTCAGATTTCTCGGGGTTAATTTGCAGTCCCGTTTTTACACTGAACTCCTGTAGCACTTTTCTTACCTCCATCAATGACTGTATGTCCCCCTGGCAGAATGTAACAACCCAGTTTTCAGAAAAAAAAAACTCAGACCGTCCGTTCTAGAGAGACCGGAACGAACGGACCACGACCACACTGGAATGGACAGACCAGTCCGGAACGGAACGGACAGACTCGAGCGTGGGCAGCGACAAAAGTCGCGATATTCGCCCGGGTCCAACCTGAAAGCGACGTTTACCCACCTATGGTCGACCAAAAACCCGATTTTTCAACCATATGGGCCCTAAACTCAATTAATTCGCTCTGAATCCGGAAATTTTGTCACAAATCGTCCAAATCCGAGTTTTTCCCTTAAGCATTCTCTCTCCCCATTCTCTCTCAGTTCAACCCCGAAATTCTCTGTCAAAACCAAAGGATTCACACCCAAATCGGTTCCTGCTGAATTCTGGTGAATTCCGCGGCGTAGACCGACCGGTCTAGGGGTTAGACCGACCGATCTAGGTCTGCAGAAGAAATCGCGAAATTCTAAAGTTGAAGACGAAGCCTAGACTGACTAGTCCAGAGGCTTGACCGATCGGTCTAGACCGAAATCAGATCGAGACCAAAACCAAGCGTAGACCGATCGGTCTATAATCTAGACCGACCGGTCTGGATCAAAAATCAGACTGAGACCTAAACCTGCCTACTAGACCGATCGGTCTAGTATCTAGATCGATCGGTCTGGACGAAAAATCAGTCTGGTCGGTCTGACCTCAGACCGACCCAAAAAAAAACTAACGGAACCTTGAAAATACACTAGGTGAGGAAGTGAAAAACTAGATTAGTCGGACCTAATATTACCCCTACTCAATATAGTGAAAAAGTGAAAAATAAAAAATAAACCGAAAATACGGGTCAGACCGGACCCCATGTAGTCTGAACCCAAAAATGGATAACATATAAGCCTAAAAACCACGGAATGAACCGAACTGGTTATCCGGGCGGACCGGAACAAGATAGGTCAAACCGGAGGTATAATTTGGTAATTTAATTTAATTAGAAAGACTCAAAGAAAATATGTAAATGAATATAAAAGACTACGCATGCAGAAATGCATGTATAGTAAATAAACTATATAAATGCGTGTGACTGTGGTAGCTGGCATGACGTTAACGTTAATTCGAAAGGGTTCGGATTAACTTTTAGCGCGTAATTGTAGAAACGGACATTTGTGAATGATTGCACGATGTTTGCGAGATTGTGTCCCATTCCATGGGTCATCCGATCCGGTTCGGATGTCACCCATATGGGATATGATTGTGAATGTGGCGATAACCTAATTGCGCCAACGTTCGATTGATATGACGGTTATGGGCACCCAAATGACTTGCGTAGATAGCCGATTGTAGTCGGTACTATTGCGTGATGAGGAAAATACGAATCTTGGTAACAGCGCCAACGTTTCCGTTAGCGACGGAGCGGATTCTGGGATATGATTATCCCGAGGATGGGGCATATACACATACGTGAGATTCGGATATATTGGGGTCTCCCTAGGAGGTGGTACGGACTTACTCTGCCAGGTTTGGGCACGAACCTGACAAGTATTTCCGCGACGGATGGCCGGCGAGGGGGTCTTGCAGCGATTGGCTCTCTCGTTATAGTCGATGGCGTCGGTGGTAGCTGATGTCTGGTGAACTCCGGTATTGAGAGGTGACATCAATATCGGCGCGAGGTGACACACCTAGTATCGAGAGGTGACATCGATGCTAGGGTGGGGTGATGTGTTCGGGCGGAGTAATATATATTTATACTGGATCCGGGTGATTGTGGAGTAGATGGATTACGAGGAGAGAGATGGTTGTGCTATGCACATGAGGAATATATTACCTACGCATGGTTCACATAGAGACGATTTGACGGACTCTGTCCTGCGACTTATTGTACGGACTTGATTGTGATTGCTGCATGCTTATCGTGATTCCATGCTTCATTTCCTGTTTATTAGTATACTAGTATATATATATATATATATATATATATATATATATATATATGTATTTGTTTTTCCTGGCATCATGAGAATGGAACTCCGGGTTACGCCTGAGTTCACTCTCTAAGCAATTAGCTTAGGACGTTGTTACGCAACGTTTCAGGTCGTGAGCAGCAGTAGCCGAGGAGCCGACATCGGAGACCTGGGCAGTGTACCACTATCGATCATGTATATTTACGTATTTTGATACATTTATATTTTTGGGGAACGTTTTGTATTATATCGGTGGTAGACTTTTAAGGCTTGTAATAAAGTTATACTACCACTTGAAATTATGTACCATATATGTATGTACGAGTGTTTCTTCCGCTAACTCTGAAAAGAAAAGTTTTAAATTCCCGCGGATATTTGGAAATCGAGTCTTTATTTTAGTTGTCCATATGACGCAACTCGTATTTCGGGATACGGGTTTCGGGATACGGGTTTCGGGCGTTACACAGAAGATCATGACATCATCAGCGAAGGAGAGATGCGTGATCAGCGGGTTCTGGCATTTGTAGTTCAGATTCAGCTTGCCTTCCTGCGCCGATCGGTTAAGCATACTCATCAATAATTCCATAGCCATAATAAACAAATAAGGAGATAATGGATCTCCTTGGCTTAGTCCTCTCCTCCCTTTAAACATGCCAATTGATCTATAATTTAATAAGACAACCATGAGGTAAGATGTTACAAAATTGGCCATATCCTACTACACAATCATATGCCTTTAGCCTAAACAGCCTACCTCTAATGTACGTAAATATATACACAATTGAAATAAGACTTGATGACGTGGTGGTGTCGAGGAAAAATACGGACCGGGGGCTGCGTTGTTCGTCGGCGATAAGTGGTAAATATTGAGAGTATTTGAGTCTTTGGTCCGACACCTGTACATTTAATTATTTAACATAAATTAAATGCAAACAAACTAGGGTTGTGACAAAAGGTAATCCTACCCATTTGGTTGGAATCATTTGGATTATGTGAATTAATTGACCCAACCCATTATTAATATGATAAAAACTAAATGGATTGGTTAAAACCCATTAATCCAAACCCAATAATGTTAAGGAGCCGAATCGCTGAGGAGGAAAGAAAAAAAAAACAAAAGGAGATTTTCGTTAGGTTTTAAGTTATTTGGGTATATATATCCATTTAATACCTAAACCAAATGGGTTAAATCCATCCAACCATTTAAATCAACTAATCCAACTGGATAATTCATTCGGTTATATTATTGGGTAGGTTTAAGGAGAGTGGTTGGGTAGAAGAAATATCAGAGGTTGAAGAGTTCTGGGATGGTATTTGATCGGCCGTATGTAAGTGCGGATATTGTTGAAGAGAACGAAGACAAAGACCACAAGCCGAGAGACGATTTATCTCACTAGGCTTCCTTGCATGATACTTAGGGGTGTCAAACGAGCCAGCTCGGATCATTTTGGACTCGGCTCATTTGGCTCGGATCGTTTTGGGCTCAACTCGTTAGGCTCGTTTTCTAACGATCCAGAAAAATCTTGGCTCAGATCGCTCGCCAGTTTGCCGATCTGAACGAGCTGGCTCGTTGAGCCAAAGATATATAATATTTTTTATTTATATTTATTTTTAAATATAATTATAACATTAAATAAATATATAAAAATTTAATAAAACACCAATCTCATTTAATATTTTCAATTATCATCATCATAATAATTAATATATTTATAATATCATATAAATAATATGAAAAAAATTAATATAAAATTATATTAGAGTTTTTTTATATAAATTTAATTTATTTTT